AGCCTGCCAGTTTTGATGGTCTTTCCAGTTAATCTTGTCTTTCTGTACAATTGTTTTTATATATTTACAAACAAATATACTGCAGTCGACGTTATTACTTTGTGTAGGAATGCCTCTAGTCGTGATAACAACCCAATTACTCGGGTCACTGCGGAAAGCATTCCCGGCATCCTTGCGAAGATGTCTTATCCGGTAACACAAATAGTTGTTTAAAACAGTGAAAAAAAAAAATAGTTATGTCAGTTGTTAGTTAGATAACGCTTAGAATCTTACCACGTCGCGTGTGACTCCCAAATGTATTTTATTAGGCAATGAGTCGTAGAACATCCACATGCGGTCCTTCTGGTTCCCAACAAGTAGAGTCTAATGTTTATTATTAATTATTGGAACTAAAATTGCTCTGTCTGAGATACAGCTTCCACTGTGACGTGGGCAACAATATCTCGAAGAGGATGGTATCTAAACCCCTGCATATAAAAAATAAATGAGTTTAAAAAAAGCATTAACAGTTAACATTAATAGGAATTTTATTCCTTGTCCAATGTGCCGGAGAGACATACAAATAGGATCTAAAAGAATCAGGGGACTGACGCCGACGGTTATCTAATCCAATGGCAAACAAATCTACATGTTCTACCCCTACTTTATTATCCCAAACTGCTTCAAGGTCATTTCGACTTATATGAATGTGACCCTGAGCAATTATTATGTCATCCCTGCAAATTGATTGAACAATATTTATTAGATTTAATAAACAATTGACAGAAAAAGTATTATGTTTTGTAAATACATTTCTTTGTACATTCTTAAACAAGTATCTATCACCCATTGCATGTGTGATGGTAGTAGTTCTCTGCCGGAGAACTCTACGACTGAACAAGGGAGGGCACATTCATATGGAACAATTGCGCTCGACTGTACCTCCTCCCAAGCTTCTTCAGCCTCGCTTTCCCTAGCTTCATCGAGCTGTGGAGATGGTATGGTAATCGGCGTAGAAGACTCATAAATATGTTGTACTAAATTATCTATATTCGCGGTCGGAACTTCTTCCACATTGTTTTTCTTTCAAATGAAGAACTAACCATCCTCTTTTTCTTCGGTCCTTTGGACTTGATATTTCGGACTAAGCTACCAATTAGGTCTTTAGGGATGCCTTCTCCAGGTTCCCCAACACCTTTATTAGTTTCACTATCGGGTGCAGCTTCATCGAAGGCAGTCATTCTACCTATCGGCTGTTCTTCTTCAAAAATATTGGGTCCCCACTCCTGTTCCGACGCTTGCTCAATATGAGCAGGTAGTTCTTCTTCCTTTTCTGGGTTTTTTCTTCCCAGTAAATTCAGAACCTACAGGAGATTCCATGAGAACTTTATTTATTTTTTTCTTTATTTCTTTATTTCGTTGATGGTCAGTCTTCACCTCCATCAGTGTATACTCCAAAAAAAATTTTAGGTTATTTACTGAATCCTTCAATTGAACTAAAATTTGTTGATGCTCCCTCAGGGTTTGTCATATCTCTTCAAAACACAAATGTGAATGCGTAGGTGGCGGGATAGTGCAAGTCTGTACAAAAGGAATAGCTCCATGAGACTGGTGTTGTTCGATGAGTGTGAATTTCGGATTCTCCAATGGACTTTACAGGAGAAGAGATCGGACCAACTAGAGGGGCAAGTAAACTATGCTCCTCGTCTATTAAATCAACAAGAAAATCAAGAACCTACAAAAACATTCATTATAAGAATTAAATAAGGTGGTCAAATACTAAACATAATCTTGAACTTAAAACAGACATTAATACCATTCACCTGTACACGACTAAGTTGTTAAAAGATTAAATGGATCTTTGGAGGTGGTTTCACCCTATATTTATTGGTCACCTCAACATACGAGGTTTGGCGTCATGATAAGTCAGGGCTATCACAAGTGTGCGATCATAAAACCACAGCAGCATAAACACGATTAATAAATCAGAAATTCATATAACCTAAATAAGATGAAAATAATTTTTTTTTTATTGAGGTTGAGCAATATACTAACCGTAAGAGGAAAAACAAACCCGTTCATGTATTCCAATGGCTGACCCATCCTTATTTTCATGTCGCAAGTATTGACCTGCTCAATAGGTGGTCACATACTATTGCGGTTCAATTAAATGAAGAAAAAATATCTACAATCTCAGCAAATGAATAGACTTCTGTGGGTACACTAAAATTGTCAGAATAAAATAATAAATTAGACAACAAAAATTTAATAGTAAGTTCATCAAGACTAACAGATGAACTCTTCAATAGTTCACTATTTGCCAGCCTTGCATTTACGTCATTGACGGGTTTTTTAGCCCAAGTTGTTATGGGACCTCTGTTGGGCATGTCAATCAACAAAGCAACTTGGTTTGCATCAAAACTCAGTTCTTTCCCCCCAACCTGAAAGTCAATCTATTCATATCTCAACAATTCAATATGTGCATAGTTAGGATATGACCATGATGATAGGGGGGGCAGATCAAAAAACTGATTAAGCTTTATTTTTTTCAGAGTTGATCACGTCTCCCGAGAGAATTGACCGAACCTTATCCAACACCTTTTTAACTGTTGATGGTCGGCATCTACAATTCATTGATTGTTTATTCATTAACCTATAGAGATAAGATGCATGTTATTAATACCGGAATGACCAAAGAATGTTTATTCGTCAATATACAGAAATAAGATGCATGTTATTAATACTGTTATTAATACTGGAATACCCTAAAACTACAACAATAATATACGCAGAACATAAAAATTAATAAAATAATACCTTAAAAATAACTCAAGAATAACCTACGAATAACCTATACATAATCTAAAAATATCTTAGGAATAGTCTATGAATAACCTGCGCATAAACATACAAATAACCTAAAAATAACCCAGGAATAACCTACGAATAACGTACGCATAACTTAAAAATAACATACAAATAACTCATAAATAAAACAAGCATTACTTCAAAATTAACAAAACAATAGCCTGAAAATAACTCAGGAATAACTCAGGCATTACTTCAAAATTAACAAAGCAATACCCTGAAAACAACTCAGGAATAACCTACGAATAATCTACGCAAAACTTATAGATCATCTGCAAATAACCAGAAATAACCTAGGAATAACCTAAAAATAACTTTAAAATATCCTCAAAATCACCCAAGAATAACCTAATAATAACATACTTATAACTTAAAAATTAACAAAATAATGTCTTAAAAATAACCTAAGAATAACCAAAGAAAAACATACTCATAACTTAAAAATAACCTACAAATAACACAGGAATAACTTACTCATTACTTCAAAATTAACAAAACAATACACTAAAAATAACGTACAAATAACCTACGAATAACCTGACATAACCTAAAAATACCCTTAAGAATAACATATGAATAACATGCGCATAAACCTGTAAATAACTTAACAATAACTCAGAAATAACCTACGAATAATCTACGCATAAATTTAAAATCACTTGCAAGTACCTTAAAAATAACTCAGGAATAATCTGAGAATAAATTAAAAATAATTCACAAGTTAACTTAAAAATAACTCAAGAAAAACCTACGAATAACCTGAAAAATAAACTACAAATAACCTAAAAATAACTCAGGTTTAACCAGAGAATAAGATACGCTTAACTTACAAATAACCTACGAATAATTTAAAAATAACACATGAATAACATGGAATAGCTACCAATAAGTACTACGCTTCGGAGTAACTCAATAATAACCCAATAATAATCAAACTAATAACCGAAAAATAACTTGAGAATAAAACGATGACAATTACCAGGACAAATTTTCCCCTTCAATGACTTCCTTCATCATCTTTGTCTCATTCTTCTTTCTCTGCTTCTTTGACTTCATTGGTTGCTCAACCTATGTCTTCTCAGTATCTTCTGATACTGTTATTCAGCTCTCTTCAACCTGCACATACTCCGAATCATCAAACGTCATCGTCTTATGGCTTCGAAGTTATCGAACGAGGGAAATGTGAAACTCTAATAGAGCGAGCGGCGAAAACGTAGGAGAAAAACCACCGGAGAGTATTTTCAAAACGTCTTCCTCAACATTCTAAAATGCGGGATACTCGAAGAGACGCGGGCTCATACATCAGGTCGGGTCGGCCTTTAGCGAAATTTTTTTTTTCAATTACGTGGACAAGCGGGTTCCACGCGGCCAAATTTAATTGGTCAGCGTACTATGCGGATCGTCAGGTCTCCTGACCGAAAAAGCGCTCCCTCAACACCCCCCACCACCCACCCCCCTCCCACATCGCTGCCACCCTGCTGCTTGTCAGCCCGTACCCCACACAATCTCATCGCTGCCATGCTAGTTGTCGGGCTTAGCCCTACCGGAATTTGAGTTGTGTTATGTTTTATTTCCTGATTTCGAGTCATGTTATAACCTTTTTGAATTTCAACAATAATATTTATATATTCTTTCAATAAATATATTATTTGAAACTCTATACAGTACTTAGCTCAAACCAGTTTAGTTTACTACAAATGGCGCTGGAGCTAAATTGGAGATAAGCAAATGGCACTACAGCTGCTGGCGGTACACAAACTAGGCACGAGCTGCAAGAGAAAACTTCAAATGTCGAAGAACATGGATGTGGATGAATGTGCAAAAGGGCATAGGAGTAATGCAAATTTCTTCTATTATTGATACATGAATATAAAAAGTAATCACACTCTCTGAGCCTCTTGTTTTTCAGTACCAGTAGTCTTTTGACGTTAAGTAATTGTGCTTCCTATCTTGATCTAATCACCCTATTCAAGACTTTGACTATCATTTTTAAATTCAATCAAACTGAGCCATGGCTGCCATCATTCCAAGAAAATGAGAGCAGTTGATAGTAAACTTAACCTAAAACATGGAGATAGCCAACTCCTAAGAATCAGAATTGATAGTAAACCATTTCGCCATGATCTCCTAAATTGGTAATAGAAACTACTAACCGGTAAAGCTACGAGATCAAAACTTTCGTTAGCACACGCAGATATAGACTTATCGGCCACCAGCTTAGTCCCCGAGGAGCCCTCAATCTGAAGCTCCGGCTCGACGGAGGCCACCATAACGTCCGCTCCGGCGCGGCGAAGGACGTCCACCAAAATAACAGCCTCCATCTCCTCCGTCCCTAACCCTATCGGAACCAAAACCTAAAGAATAAAAAGAAAAAGTTCAGAGAGATATAGGTCAAGGAATCCGATGAAAATGATGCAGATGAAGGAAACCTTTTTTGTGGAAGTAGGAGTGAGAGGCGTGGCCATTGTCTTGCTCCGGGAGGCGCGCCTGTAGTCTTGTGCGATATTACGAGTTCGCCGGGGCGGCGGAGTGCAGCACAAGGGCCGGATGGCGGTAGCCATTGCATCCGCGAGGAAGCGAAAGACTGAACAGTTATTATTGGGTGGGTGCAGTTTGTTTATATTGGGATATTTCAAGTTCAGGGGCTGTTACAAGGAGAAATTTTTTAAAATATATATTTTATTAATATATATTAACATTTTGGACATCTTAATACCAAAATTTAGAAATGGGCATGGTAGATCAGCGGTAGAGGGTCTGTTTGGAGCAGCACTGCGAGTGCAGTTTGCTCGTTTAGATAAACTGTAACTTGGCAGCTATTTCAAAAAGTTGTAGTTGATATCAGTATTCTCCACCGATCCTAGTTAGATGCGGTGGCAACTTTGTAGATGTGATCTGTCTTTTTCAAAAAAAAATTATAATTGTCACCGCAGCATTTTACGATAATAAATTATTATTCAACAGCTTCATAACTGTTTCTAAATAAATTGTATCTGACCCAAAAAGACCTTGCATGAGAATGTGACAACCGAGTCTTGTTTTACTTTTTTTTTTTTTTTTTTCATTTCTTTTGGCATCATACTTTAAAGGTCTACAATTTTTTTTTATTTAAATTTTTAATTGCATTTTATCGCCTGAATCCCATGTATACTCATATAAGTCCAAACTCAAATTTTTATAAATAAGTCATCTAGTTTTTACAATGAGAACATACAGTTAATATTTTAAAAATAAAAAATAATTATATTTTTCTATGATATGAAATATTTAAATAGTACAAATGTAAAAATTTAATTTAATTATCAAATATGTAAATACAAAGGAATTGGGTGATATACATGTAAATGCATCTTTTTTTCATATAGGGTTGAGTTGATGAGATGATATACTACAGAGAGGCTTTAAAACCTCAAGATGGGAGCATCTTGAGACTTTATATAATTTGGGAAGATACCTCGTATTAAGTTGGATGAATTTTTTTGAAATATTATATCTAATTTTAGAAATAAATTTTGATAAATATGAAGTTTATAATATAAATTAAATTTATGAAGTTGATTTTTTTTCTTTTACAATTTGTGTTGTGATGTTCTTTTACAACTTTGGGTCTGCCCAAGGATTTTCATGTGTCCCACATTCGCTAAAATAAGTTCAAAACTTTAAGCAATGAACATCTAGCAAAAATAAACAAAAATAAAAAGGTTTTGCATACAAACTATGAACGAGGGAAATGAATCAATTAGAATGGCATCTAGCAAATAACCTTTTTCACTTCCATTCATCAAGGAAATAAATCAACGAATTTTCAAGAAAACTTTAGCACAATCCAATCGAAGAAATTTCAACAGCAAATAACAAAGGCATAACAGTCTCAATCTTCTGTGAGATTCTAATTTTGTTTAGTTAAATACGACCTTAATAGTAAAAGTATAAGTGAAGATAAGTGCATTACATAGCAAGCACTACGTGACAAGCAAAGTATATGAGATAAAGTTGTAACCAAAAAAAGATATGCAAGTTGTCCTCAATTTTATTTTTAGACATACGAATTTCATTAATCAAACCCTTATTCATTAAGAATGTCTTGTTAGGAACAAATCACATTAAGGAACAAAAAAAAAATTATTGTTGAAATTTGAAGAGGGATAATAGGATTCGAGATCAAAGAGCAAGTTTGAGTGAACCCTTGTCTTTCAAATAAAAAAGTATAAAAGGAACTCATTAGAAAAATTCATTCATGGGATTGGTGTTACTTAGGAAGCATTGGCATTTCACATTACATACCAAGCTTTGACATTACAATCCAAAATATGCCATGCAAAGCATCCTCCCGAATAAAAATAGAGTCACAGTGAATGAAGTTGTTCACTTATTATTAAAAGCAATCAGAAATGTTGCACACATACCACACAATAATTATGCATGAAAAAAAATCAGAAAAATGCCCAAGTTAACATTCTTAAATAGGTTTTACACAGAATTAAAGTCAAGTTATGTCTTCCAACAACAACATAATCACAAGAGATTGTGATAGATCAAACAATAACAGTTGTTGGGTTGCACAATTAAAGCCAAAACTTCATGATTTACATCACAGACAAAAAGAGAGACAAAAATGTCATGAAAGCAGGACAACCTGCAAAAGACTGAAGGCCCTCAAAAGATATAAAAGCAAAAAACCATAGTAGGTTTCACCAAGAACAAGCATCAACTGGAAAACAAATTTCTAAGTAGCTAGAATAACATACTACATTGAAAGAATAAGTGATTCTGAGTTTCTAAGAAAGTAAAAAACTTGCGCTATTGAAAGAGTTGGATTTCAAATATTCATTAAAAAAAATCTACTTTTGAACATAATACAAAACAAAAAGAAAGTGGCAGTTCTACATCATTTTAACTCCTCATTACCTGTAATTGTACTTCACTCACGCGAAACATAGTGGAGATTGTTAAAATCAACTCTTAGTAGATTATCAAAACAAGAAGAATGACGAAGAAGATATGGCGAGATAGAAGAGTGATGGAGAGGTTACTAGACGAGTGGAGAAGAAGAATGTAAGACGAGATTGGGCATGTTAGGACAAGAGAAAAGAAGAAGGTGAGACGACCATGTGAATGCTCTAGGGCACACACGATTAATCTTTGCGAACAAGAAGAGGGGCGATGGCAAAACAACGAACCACGGTGTAAAGTTTACACGCGAACGTAAAACATGCACGTGGTTCTACTTCCACAATGCTACAATAACTCCAAATCGTCATTTGAGATTACTCCATCTAAATGTATCAATCAAAGGAAATTTTTTTTCCGCAGGGACTGCGAACCGAGCTCTGCTGTGGAGTTAGTAAAATGCCACCACATGTGCTACACCAGACCCACTTCATAAACACAACGTAGGGGTTATTAAAGTGAAACCACTAAGGTTATTGGAGTTGTTCACCGCGCTAAGTTATTGCAAGGTTATTAGAGGATTATTTGAGTGTTATTGAAGCGTTATTGAAATTGCTCTGCAGTGGTTATTGAAGGGTTATTGCGGAATTATCAGTGACTTATTGAAGCTATTTTGAGGGGGTTATTAAAGTGAAACCGCTAAGGTTATTAGAGCGGGTCACCACGAGGGTTATTGGGTGTTATTGCGGCGTTATTGAAGCAATTATTGAAATTGTTTGCTGGAGTTATTGCAGTGAAACCACTGAGGTTACTAGAGCGGTTTACCGTGTGGTGTTATCATGAGATTATTGGGGGTTATTGCGGCGTTATTGAGACGATTATTGAAATTGTTTTGCGAGGTTTATTCAAGTGTTATTGCAACGTTATTGAAGACTTATTGAGTTGTTTGAAAGAGTTATTGAAGTTGAACCACTGAGGTTATTGAAATGGTTCATCGCATGTGGTTATTGAAGGATTATTGTGACTTTATTGAAGTTGTTATTGAAATTATTCTGCGGGCATTAGCGAAGGTTATTGGAGCGGTTTACCGCACAATATGTATGAAATGAGCCCAGCATAAAACACGTGGTGGCATATTATTACAGTAGCGCAGAGCTAAGCCGGAACTTCAAATGTAAAATTTTAGTCAATCAAATGCACCCAAAACACTATTGGATTCGAAAGCTGGTTTTAAAAGCTAAATAGAACCCATCCTTAATAAATTTCATATAAAGCTAAATTACGTTTACAAAATCTACAGCCTTAACCCGCGAGCTGATCTCTCACTCTCCTGACCTACGAAACGGCAGCCATGACAGCAGTTCTGTTGGAGCTTTCAGAGGTCCTTCGTTCCAAAACTGATGAGGTGACGCATTACTCTCTTAACTTTAGTCTAGGGTTTCTCCTCTCCTCATTCATATACCTTGATTTCTTCCCTTCCTCGAACGTCTACTTTCTAAGAACATATAAACGGTATAACAAGGTGTAGAAAATCGTTTCTAATAGCTTGCTTTTGTTTTTTAATTTTCTCAGGACAAGATAACAAACTCAGAAAGAATGTTAATCGGCAATTGCATGGTGAAGTCGGTCAAGAATTGTTTAATCGGGGCCTTTGTCTCTTCTGCCGTAGTTTACAGTGGTATTGAATCTCATATCTATACATGCAAATCATGCCTTTCATTTTCCCGAAATTTGAAAGTTATGGTGAGATTAATGCTTGCGAAAAAAATGGGGTCCGTGGAATGATTTGAAACGAATTGAGGACCTTGTTGTAATTTGAATTTGTTATCTTTCGCAAATGAATTACAATCTACTAACGAACTTTCACATTATGGCATTTTCTATTTTATTGGTCTGTCAATGGTCTAGATTTGCATAAAAGATTCGTGTGGATTGTTTCAATCAATGTATAACACTATGCACGATCTTCCGTTTATATTTCTTTTTCATTCATCAGACCAAGGTACTTGTGCACAATTATAAAGACCAGCCATCACCATGGCTGAGTCAGAACTCTGTTTTGTTGAGTGCAAGTCTAAAATAATGCAAGTACTTAAATCTTCCCAAATGGAATCATAAATTGGCAGAGAAGTATATAAGCATGTGTTTTGTCTACTTCCCTTAAATATTTGTCATTTAAGACATTTTTCTACGAATCTATAAACATCATGGCGCATTTTGGCCAAAAGAGGCGGGCTTGAAAGAGTGCAAGGGTCTTATAACGCCCTCTGAGAGCTGCCAGACCTCCACTGCTACATTTCAAAATAAGATGCTGCGGCAAGAATGTATTTGGAATGCATAATTGGGTTTCCTTGAAGAGGTAAACTTGCGGCAAGAATGTATTTGGAATGCATAATTGGGTTTCCTTGAAGAGGTAAACTTGTTTTATGGAATAGTCATCCACGACAGTGAAATCTTGGCTAGTGTTCCATGGCATGGAAGAAAATTGCATCATCAACTTATAATTCTTCAGCACATTCCAGTCTACTGACAACATTTTGAACTATAATGAGTAAACTAGAGCAGCAACTTAGAGCTTCAGCGGTTTTGTCGCAATTGCCCGCTCTATGTTTAACAGTGAAGCTATACTAGAGCAGCACTCTTACATGTATACAACTTAATTTCCTTTGAGAATGCAGAGATTGAAGTGGTTGATGATCACTAGGACCCGTTTGTTTCACCTTTATAAGCCGGCTTTTTATTAAAACGCCATTTCATGGAGAAAAACTTGAATTATGGAGGTCTACATTGGAGTCTAAAGGCCTTCTTTTGAGCTGAACTAAAACTAAATACATGGAATGTAATTTTAGTAGTAGTAGCTATAGTGACAGAAGTGTAACTTTGGGTGATCAAATTATTAAAAGGTGTGAACAATTTGGATATCTCGGGTCTGTCATTCAAAGCGATGGTGATATAGATGGGGATGTTAATAGTAGAAATCAAGTTGGTTGGTTGAAATGGAGGAATGCTTCGGGCCTTTTGTGTGATAGAAAAAGACCTCTTGAACTAAAAGGAAAATTTTATAAGAGGGTGGTGAGACCTGCAATGCTCTATGGCGCTGAATGTTGGCCTTTAAAAGAGAAGCATAATACTAAGTTAAGTGTTGTCGAGATGAGAATGATTAGGCGGATGAGTGGTTTTACACTTAGAGACAAAATGCGAAATGAATATAACCGTGACAAGGTTGGTGAAGCTCCAGTGATGAACAAAATTAGAGAGAGTCGTCTTAGATGGTTTGGTCATATCAAACGTCGACCATCTGAGGATCTGATTAGGAGAGCAGATGTTTTAGATTCGACTTATGTTAAGAAAGGCAGAGGTAGACCTAGGAGACTTGGGCTTATTTTATAAAAAAATGATCTTAATTTATTAGAACTAAATGAAAACATGACACTAAATAGGACTCAATGGAGAAAAAAGATTCATGTAGCCGACCCCACGTAGTGGGATTAAGGCTTTGTTGTTGTTGTTGTTGCCAATTCATAGCGTTTGAGGGCTCTGTTTCTTCGTCCCGGTTCGAAATCGCGGCTCATTAATTCCTAGTTTCGTGACCGCGGGTGAGCAGCTGCGTCCTGCGGTTCTTGAATAAACAACGGCTCAGTATTTCCTTTGCTGCCCTCACTTCACTCGTCTCCTAGCCCTAGATCGCCTCAGAGGGAACCAAAGCCCCTCTGCTCTTACTTTCGTTCGTCGACGTTGGTATGCATTTTTAGCTAATTATGAGGAGAATATCATGTCTTAGCCTTTTTTTTGTGCTCAATCCGCTGTCCGTTGGTGACAAGAGGAATAATGCCATTTCGCCTTATCTCTCTCTCTATATATATATATTGAGTTTGATAAGATCCATGAGGAGGAAGAATCGATTTTGAGGAGAAGAAAATGTTGGATTTCTTCATTTGTTCCATGCTGCTCGTGCTTAACCATTGAGTTTGACAATGTTTCTTCTCTAGTTTGAGTTGTAGCATGCAAAAATATGTTTTTTTTGTGGTTTTTTTTTTGTCATTCTGCGTCTTTGAGACGATTTTTTAGCATTGAAGGGAACCTATTATTAAATAGCGGAAGCACAATTTTTTGATGGGTTGTATACCTGATTCAAATTTACAAAATAGTGGACTATGAACCATGGAAACACTTTCTTTGGATTGTTTGACATTTGCTTTATCCGAGTAATATGTTATTGATGCATTATGGAGATTTCTCTTTTATGTTCTCCAATTGTGGTCATTTACCTAACCACATATTTTATAAATATTTTCATATCTTCTTTTTAACAAGTGAAATTCATATTTGAATGCTTAATGTTTGTTTGATCACTTTGCACATAAAGATGACTAGTTTGTTTCGTCAGTTTGCATACGAAAAGTGCAATTCTTCGCTTCGGGCTTCTAGTTTGAATGCACAATGTTTGTTTGTTGCGCATGTAAGATGGAGGGGCTTTTGAAAAAAATTGAAAAAGTCTTCTTTTCGGACTTATGGTTTAAATTTCTCATTTTATTATACACGCATTTATGCAATTTGTGGGGTTTTTGTCAAAAATTGAATATAGACTTCAACATGAATAGGCTCCGTTTGTTCAAATTTCTCATTTTATTATAGGCTCCGTTTGTTCAACCAATATTAAATATTATCTTACTTTTGTTTGACTGCTTGTACAGTGTTGGTGGCTTTTTTATAAAATATTGAGTACTTGTCACTTATACATGAAAATATGAGTATTTAGGTGTTCCATATGTAATTGCATAAAGAATTTGTGGTGAAGATGTCTATTTTGTAGTTGATTTACTTGCAAATTTGATGCAGTTGGTTTTTTGTAGAAGAACTTACAAATTTCTCATATCACCTGATAATTATTCAAAGTTTATCATGCTTTAGTGCATGGGATGTTCTCCTATTTATCATATAACCATTGAACTTATAGATGCAAGAACAAACGGGCAACACAAGGGACAACACGTAATCCATTGTTTGGGAAAGAGATACCAAAATGATTTTTTGTGACACATGCTTGCGTGAAATTGAGTTAGGAAATAGATCAGCAATCCATTTTAACAAAAAAATGTAATTTTTAAGAAAAAACAGGTAGATTGTATGATAGAACGCAGTTAAAGAACAAGGACAAGCTAAATAAATATTGAAAAATTTAGAAGGAACTCAAAAGAGGATCAACCGGACTTGGTTGGGATCCCATAAAGAACACCATTGACGCATCACCTGAGTGGTGGAAGGAAAAGTTAGAGCTTAATAAATTGAACAGAATATAAAATTATTCCATCTAAACTATTTGGCTTTGGTTGAACTGCCATTGGCTGCAATGCATTGAATTGTTGGGAACATCTTTGAACCTTGGCTCCTTTTGCTGAAATTGTTTTGGGTATTGCATTTTTTGGAGGCCTCAACCGAAGCATATGGTTTGAATTTTTGTTGGTAAATGCAAAAAGTATGCTTGCATTTTTTAGAGGCCTTAACTGAAGCATATGGTTTGAACCTTGACTCCTCTTTCTTCGAGCTTTATTTTTCTTAAGGGGTTATTATGAGTGATTTGGCCTAAGGTATTCTTCTGGATGACTCTTTAAGCTATTCAACATATATTGTTAAGCGATTTTGGCAATCAAGAACCCTTATATCATTGGTTTACTGCTAATGTCTCATGACAAATTATTTTTCTACTTTTATTCACTTCGAACCTGTTATTAATTGTGCAACCTAAAAACTATTAAGTTTATATTGCTGTTGGAAGGCATAATTGGAAGATTTTATACCATGGCATTGTTGAAAACCTTTATGATAATTTAACATGAATGCATTAAATTTGATTTTGTATTCATATAATTTTGAAAACCTTTCTCTTTATAGTTATTGTTTGGTGCAAGGAAGAAGAGTATATTTGGTGCTACAGTCATATTCACATACATACGAATTGTGCTAATCATTAATGTACAAGATTGTATCATTGGAGATGAGCTTAAGCAACTCAACAAGCACTAAAGGGATTAAGCATCGACTTGTTTTCTATGACTGCATTCTTTTATGTGTTGTTTTCACAGCTCAAAAAGGGGACAATGTAGGGCGAAATTTCTGCAGATATATTGTTAAAATGTTAATGAACGAATAGAGATTGTAAGTTTTTTCAGTGGGTTGATGAGCCAAGTGACGCAATACAGGAGCGAGTTGTTGAGAAGATATATTCAGTTGACGATATGTTGAAAAATGTAGTGAAGGATCTGAAATTTCTTGTGAAGGCTTTATTGATGTTTAATTTTGTTATTTTAGCATTATTTTTGTTTGTTGTTAGCTTTACATCTGTTTTGATAATGTTTATGTAGTTCGAAAAACAAATTATACTTCATTGGGTTTTTTTGTTTTGTAAACAAACTTGTATTTTTTTGTTAAAATGATTTAAAATTAGAATTTTAGAGTTTAATTAAGCAACCCGACAATTTGTCTTTGTGGTTTAGATGTTCATATCCACGGTTATCTGGTCATGGAGATTTGGACCGTTTGATTTATGACAATCGCTGCTTACCATGCTGCTGTTGGAGGGCATAATTTGAAGATTTCTTATGATTGGGTTACTGTTCATCTTAATTTTCCCTTTGGTGTTGTGAATTAAAAAATTGATAAATTATCATTTGATTCAAT